CTCTCTCTCTCTCTCTCTCTCTCTCTCTCTCTCTCTCTCTCTCTCTCTCTCTCTCTCTCTCTCTCTCTCTCTCCCTCCCAGTTTATATCGCTCAACCTCGCGGACTCTCTGCACTTCGATCACTCGCCTCTCCACTCTCTCTCACCCTACTCCACTTGGACCGTACCCTGAGTACACCCGCATCGTTCCACCCTTGACCTTCATGGCTATGGCTGCCTTCTTCCTCAACCTCCTAACACGAGCTATGGTAACCAGATGTCTTCTTCTCCGCCGGACACTCGCTTCTCCTCCTGCGCCCACCTTCCATCCACACCGCACTATCGCACAAGCAACCTGCCGCGCTTCCACAACTTGCTCATGAACAGTTGATCCTGCTTGCTGATGCTGTTGGGCTTTTATACTTCGCCGCCGGACACTCGCTTCTCCTCCTGCGCGCAGCTTCCATCCACGTCGCACTATCGCACAAGCAACCTGCAGCGCTTCTGCAACTTGCACATAAACAGTTGATCCTGGTTGCTGATGCTGTTGGGCTTTTATACTCGATGATCCGCCTTCCAGATATCTTCTGTTGGTCATGGGTTGGTCCCCTTTTGCCTTTGTTCCCTGCTTCTGGAATCTTACGGACTCTTCTTTGGGTTTGGCTGCTTGCGTGGATCAACTGACACCTGGCCTCACGACTCTGGTGATCCTGGCTGAAGTTTGTGGTGCCTTCTCAAGACAGACTCTTCAACCCCTAACTGTTATCTACCAGGGACTTCCTTCCACGATCTACTCAACTAGCCTGCCTAGGTCTCTGCAATTATGGTACAAGCGAAACTACTCTTCTAGAGTATTCATGAACATTGTACAAGTGGCTGGAACCACTAATGGAACATGGAATGGGACTTGGAATTCGGGACTCGGACTGGGACCCGGGGCTCTGGTGCAGTGTGAAATCCTTTCAAAAGTGCTCTTGAATATTAAAATCTTGATACAATAACTATCCGTAATAATCAACCGAGCCAAGAGTTAATGTCAATTAGACGAATAGATCGTAGTAAAACGTTCCATCTATGCAGCCACAACAAGTGCACTGCGAACCTTATTGCGAGCTGGTCGCCCATCACACGGTTCTCCAATTGCCCTTTTTAAGTAACGTTAACTTTATCTCAGCTGGCAAACTAGTTTCGGCACAGTCAGTTGGTCGCATCTTTCCTTGTCAGGAATAAAGTTTCGGAAGCTCTTATCATTCTGAGTGTGACAGTGTGTGTTTGTAGAAGATCAAACCTTTTCTTCTTTATTTGACGCTGACTTTTTTTTTTTTTTTAAAGCTGGTAAAGCTTGTTCTCTTGTTATGAATACTGTCATTGTTCTGGTGCTTGGTTTGCGACTTTGCAATTGCCTCTTGTGGGCCGTTGTTGGATTGTGTTTATAATTTTATATGTATATATATGTATATAGATGTGGCATTTCACGGGTTTCCTTTTCCCCCATGCATGGACAGCGGGATGGAGCAAATCTTTGCAGTCTGTGCCGGAGCTGGAAAACGCTATGTACAAGATAATCGACAACACTCCCTGTGTGCGTCTTCTCACTCTTTCTGGGGAGATAGGATGTTCAAGTGAGTCTTCCTTTCCCTTGAACTCGTTTTTACCCCATGTGAAAGAAAAAGTCCTGCAAACTCCTTCTTCTTCTTCTTCTTCTTCTTCTTCTTCTTCTTCTTCTTCTTCTTCTTCTTCTCCTTCCTCTTCTCCTTCGTCTCCTCCTTCTCCTCCTCCTTCTTCTTTGTCTTCTTCGTCTTCTTCGCCTTCGTCTTCTTCGCCTTCGTCTTCTTCTACTTCTACTTCTTCTTCTTCTTCTTCTTCTTCTTCTTCTTCTTCTTCTTCTTCTTCTTCTTCTTCTTCTTCTTCCACCTGTTAGCTGTGGTTTGTTGGATTTAAAATGTAAAAGACTGGATGCAGTGCATGATGCCTGAACTCGGTGAACTGTGAATGCCCAAGGAAATACAAGTTGAAATTCAAAGAAAGCTGATGAAACACAAACTAGCACTCCAAAAGTCGCCGTGTAAAAGAACAGACAGCAGTAACTGATATTAGTTGTAGGATCTTCTGCATTAAATTTAATCTTTATGTAAATTCATTTGTAAATAAGTTTCAGCTTTCAACTTCCAATAGGTTTCAAATTTCAATGTTTTTGGCAATCGTGTCATGTTTTGCGAGGATCTGGGTCCTCGGCAGGCCTAAGGGGCCTCTTGCTGCAGATGTGCCCGCCCTAAGTGAAGGTGGGCCTAACAAATCACGAGACGCCCTAAGCTGTCAATATCGTATTTGGGGTCCAGGCAGTTTTCGTCGCTCCAGTTGGTTGAGGGGAACACAGGCCGAGCAGCGAGACATTCCACGGCCGTCCAGGCCTTTCCAAAATGATGCAGGCCCGGGACGAGAATCGCAGGCTCATACACAGACAGTTGGGAGGCCCAACGGAATGAGGCCCGGTAGCTGCAACAGAGGCGCAGCATCCTGGGGCCTACCGGAAGCTTCTGGGCCCAGGCCCAGGCCAGCCAGGCTGTGAAGGCAGGCAGACTCTTTCCATATAGGAAAGAGCTCGCTGCCTGGAGCCTCATTCAGCATTTGCATGCTGGCGGCAGCGCTGCTGGAGCGGACGCTCGTGGGCTGCTGCTGGCGCTGAGAGGCAAGGTGCTAGTGCGTGCGGTCGTGCAGGGAGCAGGGCGCTGCTGAGGGCAGCGCCATAGCCCAGCCTCCATAGCTGGATGGGCTTGGACTACACTGAGGCGCAGGGGTGGTCTTCGGGTATACAGAGGGAAGACGTGGGTGTAAGAAGAGGGAGAGAGAGAGAAGGATGATGATGATGATGATGTGAGGGCACATACCTGGTATTGGCAATAGTCTGCATTGGGCGACATCTTCAAGTACTTCGTGAGCTGCTGGCGTCAACAGTTGCATTGTCAATTAGTAGGCAGATTGTAGCTGTGTAGGAAGTAGGCTGGACGCCGAGCGCCAAGTAGGGAGATAGGGCCTGGACACTCGTGTTGGTGGTGGTGAGAGCTAGCCCTCATTGACATTGGTTTTCACTGTTATGAATCTTCATTGGTGTTATGTTGGTGCATTTCTGCTTTCCGGACACTGTGATACTATCTGGCCTTCAATGTGATTGTGTTCTGGTTATTGTCATCTCGCTGCTGCTCATTTTCCTTATGGGAAAAAGAACTGAGAAACACATGATAGCAGTACATTAATGAGATGAGGTCTTGGAACTTGAACCTTGTTTATGTATGGAAGTGTTATTAAATTAATGAAAGTTTTATGATGAGTCCATTGTTCACAGGTTGGCATCATTCGGCGCAAGATTCAGTGTCGCATTCATCATCGGTTCTGGTGTGCGATCGGTTTTGTAGTTTTTGTTCTAGTTGACAAGGTCTTGAACCTTGAAGCTTGTTTATGTAGGAGATTATCATTTAATTATGACTCCTATGTCACTCCATTGCTCACAGGTTGGCATCATTCGGCACAAGAGGCAATGTCACATTTTCACCTTTGGACCTTTTGGTTCTAGTGTGTGATTGGCTCGACAGCTTTCTGTCCATTTTCCTACCTGCCTCAGGATCATGCTCACTCGTTTTTTGGCCCCTGGTGTTGTGCCTTGTGTGTTTTGTTTGCGTGCTCGATCTTATCTCCACTTAAACATCCATTTCTTGAATTTGTTCTCACTTACCCACATGCCTCATTTTGTCCACCTATTATCTTTTACGAACCTGTTAACTCGTACACTTGCATGACCATAATCCACATGTCCTATCTGGTGCACCTATCACTGTACCCTTACCCGCTTGCTTGACCTTCTCCAATTATCTATCGACTGTCTTCAAGTTGCTCGAATATGTCCATTTACCGTTCGTTTGCCTGACGTTGTTTTGTTATCGTCCGCTTGCATAACCTTTATCCATCTGCCATTCTTCTGCATCGTCTTATCCACTTATCATGTTTTTTTTCTTCCCCCTCCTCTCTTTCCTTACCATGTACTAGCATCACCTTATCCACTTATCATGCACGTGCATGATCTTACTTATCCACTTCTCATTCACTTTGTGTCAATCTTATCTGCTTATCGACCATTTGTTTGTACCCACATGCCATCCTTGCACTTGATCTTACTTGCTTACCCATTGATCCACTCACCCGCTTCACCTACTGCTGCTTCATTCATTAATCGACTCGTCCGCTTCCCTACTTTCCCCTCTAATCCATTGATCCACTATTCTACTAATCCACTAATCCCCTTATCCACCCACTAATCCACCTACTAATCCACTCACTAATCGACCAACTAATCTACTCGCTAATCCACCCCCCCCACTAACCACCCACTTATCCGCTTATCCACTTAATCCACTTATCAACTACACTACTTCTCCACCTCTCGTTCCTCCACTTCTCCACTTCTCCACTTCTCTACCACTTATCAACTTATCCACCACTTATCCACCACTTATCCACCATTTATCCACCACTTATCCACCACTTATCCACCACTTATCCACTTATCCACCACTTATCCACCACTTATCCACCACTTATCCACCACTTATCCACTTATCCACTTATCCTCTTATCCTCTTATCCACTTATCCACTTATCCACTCATCCACTTATCCACTCATCCACTTATCCACTTATCCACTTATCCACTCATCCACTTATCCACTTATCCACTTATTCGCTTATTCACTTGTCCACTCCACTTATGCACTTATCCACTTATCCACTTCCCCCACTTATCCACTCAATCTACGTTATCCCCTTATCCCCTTATCCACTTATCCACTTATTCATGTATTCGCTTATCCACTTATTCACTTGCTTCATTTTGTCCATTAACCTACTGACCTGTTTAGATCCAGGCCGCACGGTGGTGAGAGCGCCTATCCAGCGGATAACAGATCCAGCGGAGCAAGTGAAGGGTTTTCATTCTATCCTTCTCCCCATTGAAACCTTTGCACCTTTCATGACAAGGTATGTTTGCACTTCAAGGTTTGAAGTTTGAAGTTTGAAATTTGAATGCAGACTCTGCACAAGCAAACTCTTGTTCCCCACCAGTTTCACACGTTCATTTTGTCCTTGTTGTAGCATAAGAAAAAATGCTGAATGCTGGTTGGCGAATAAACTTGATACAGAGAAGATTAACATGGCCCCTTTGCAAGGCTGACACTCATAAATCGAGAAACGGTCCATTTTATTTGTCGGTGAATAAACTTGATGGGTCGTGCATTTGCTTATCAGACTTCAGTGAAACTCAGAGAATGCCGAAATAGCAAGCAGATAATGCTAGCTAACTCAGTTTGGACACTATCTTTTTTTTTTTTTTTTGTTAAATAACCTATATTCGTCTCTCAATATGCCTCCAACTGCCTACCTGTATACTACTAGCTTAGCAGGGGATGCCGGGGTTATGGGTTAGATTCCTGGCCTCCAGATATTTGCCTCAGCATATCCCACGGGCTGTTCATGTGGGGAACAGTACCCAGGCTCCTAACACCTGGCGCGAGCTGGAAAGCTGAAGCTACTTCCAGAACCAGCCAGGAGGGACAAGCCGACTTACTCGGTTGGTGTACCCGAAGCATACCACACAGGGGGGCATGGGGAATCGGATGGATGCCGCGGGGAATCGAACCCACGACCTCCTGTGTACCACTTACGTGCTCAACCAACTGAGCTAGGCCACTTGGCCTGGACACTATCTTCTTCTTCTTCTTCTTCTTCTTCTTCGTCGTCGTCGTCGTCGTCATCGTCATCACCTTCTTCTTCTTCTTCTTCTTCTTCTTCTTCTCCTCCTCCTTTTTTTTGGACCATTTGCTGGTGTTTTTTGGGTATATATATCAATACATAACGCATCTTGATTATGAATGTATACAAGCCATCTTTCCAGTCCGTTACAGTCGTGATCAGGGTGCACTCGCTCGCGGGAACACTGTCGTGGGAAGTTGGTGGGCTTATCACGAGCCAGGTTGGGGCTATTTGTGGTTTCAACATCCCGTAGCGTAGAAAATGTACTGATCAGAGCTGTGATGAAAGTGAAGTATCTTGCGGATCCTGGTTTCGGGACCTTGGGTGGTTGGTTGTTGTTGTTGTTGTTGTTGTTGTTGTTGTTGTTTTGCACAGATCCATTCTGATCTTCTCTGTGACGTTCCAATTTTAACGGATGTGATGCACGTAGAAAATGCGCCGGCCACTTCTGTACCTGATCATTACTCCAGCAGCTGCACCTAAGATGCGTAATTGTCCAGCTTAGGTAGAAAATGCACGTAGAAAATGTGCCGGCCACTTCTGTATATCTGCAGTTTTCCGGGTTGTTTGTGTAGGGATTCCCGGAACAGTTCGTCACATCCCCTCGTTTGCTGTCCTCTTCTCCCTCTCTGCCAACGCTTCACCGGGCAGCTCTGTTTGACGATATATATCTATATCTATATATAGATATATGTGACAAACTGTTTTGTTGGAGTTTCAACTGCGGCAGCTAGATACTGCCACCGCAACTGAGCGCTTTGAATTACAGCTGAGTGGTATTGACCAACAGCTGCTCCAACCAGGTAATGATCCACTTTCTGTCTCTGTAGTCATTTATGCTGTTGTGCATATACCCTCTGGGCATTTGTATGTTGGCCAGACAATCCATACTGCACATCAACGTTGAAGGAGCATTGGCATGTGCAACATTCTGCTGTTGATTATTGTCATCGGCATCTCTATCACGTTATGAGACAACAGTCTCCGTTCAATTTTGCTGTTTGGCTGCTTGAATGCATTGATCGTGCACTCTATATTAATGATCGCGGTGAGATTGATCATGCCCTCTTTCGGCGGACGGCCGCACCTAGAGAAGGCTTCTGGGTCCGACGGCTGCGTACCTTGCACCCTTCGGGCTTCAATGCAGTTCTGCCTATGTCTCGATTACCACCTGCTCGACGGCGGCCACGCCCCGATCGCTGGCGGCAAGCTGGTCCTGCCTCTACTGCTTCTCTTCACTCTGCTGCTTCTCAGCCGTCTCCACCTGCCGTATCCTCCCGGGCCTTTACCATTGATATTAGCCCGGGCTCTCAACTTGCAGTACGAACAGCGTTACGACATTATTGGCGTTAGGCGCAGCGGGTACTTGGTCGGAAGTTGTTGCTTCCATTCAACGGGCTACGCCCGCTTGGCGAGCTCGCTTGCTGCAATGGCTCTATATAAATGTTTCTAATGCTGACATGACTGCGGACGTCCGTGAACTTGAATGCCTTATTCGGCGGTTTCAACATGTCAGACAGCGATATACTGCCCATTCCCGTGACACCTTCGGAAACTTTATCAGGATTTGTGCACATGCACGAGATTCTGAAAGCCACTAAGCTGCGCCATGTGTTGCATTCTCCGGACATGTGTGCATTACACCCTGACCCTCAGGCAGCCAGTGCTATTCGCATCTGTGACAAACTTGTACCCCCAACAAAGGGTGCAATTCTGTAATGCAATTTTACGGAAGTTGCCTTGAGTGTCACTTCGGGCCTGCTCCTACCTGCTGCTGCTGATTGTCCTTGTCATCGGACCTTTCGTAACTGCACCGATCTGGTTGACGGCCATGTTGTTTCTGCCAACTATGATCTGATTCCGGATGCTCACCTCCATCGCCTGTTCTATGAGGGCTCTAAATATCGACTGAATGGGGTAGTGGGGGATATACTTCAAGCACAGGCTGTTGGTATTGATGAGTATATTGCTGCGTATCTTTGTCCGACAGCACGACAATCCTGTGCTGCCACCCTAGCTTCACAATTGGCTCTTTGGCTTGCCGCAGTTTTGGGTCACTGTGAGTGCAATATGGCTGCCGCATCACCTTTGCGACAACCTCGCTCTTTGCATCACGCACATACGGCCCTGCGTCAGTTCCAAGAATCCTTTGCAATTGTTCCTGTGGATAAGACATCACATAATCTGGCTATCTGTTGTAAAAACTGGTATGGTTTTAAGCTTTCAGCCCATCTTGACAGTCCTACATATTCTCGGCCTGCTGAAACAGCGGCTGACATTCTGAATAGCCATGCACTTTGGAACAGTCATTGGAATTATCCTCATGCTGACACATTGCCGTATCTTTATTGCGCTCTTAAGGCCCATAAGTCTCCTCCCAAACTCCGTACTATTCTTGGTATCACTGCCCGCAACAATCTTTCTCCTTCTCATACGGCCCAGCGAAGTGACCTGTGCCCCTCCCAACGAGTCCAGCGTTTGCATCACCGACCGCCTCACAAGCCTGTTGCTAGTACAACACCTACATCGGCTCGTTTGAGTGCGGCACTTCAAGGCGTCATCCGTACTCTCTGTGAAAAAGATAATCAACTCTTCCAATCCGAAGGTATTCGACGATGTTGGATTGTCCAGAGCAGTGATGAGGTCATGCTTGACCTCAAAAAGAATAAAGCTTCTCTCCAAGGTCTGGCACCCCATACGGTCGATTTCACTACTATGTATACTAATCTTTCTTATCAAGGGATTCTTATCAATGTTGCTAAGGCTGTTGATGAGGCACATGCCTATGCTTTTGCACAGGCACAACAGCATACATAGACACACTCATCCTATGTTGCTCTTCGTATGGTGGTCCGTGGACCGCGTGCAGGGGAATGGACTACGGATACGGGATCTGACACTCTTTCTGTATCTGACATCCTTCAACATCTTCGGTTTATTGTTACTAGTACATATCTATATACAGCGGATGGCCTTGTTCGTCATCAAGACGTGGGTATTCCCATGGGTACAAACGCTGGTCCTGAGATTGCTAACCTCACACTCTATTGGGATGAGGCGCAGTACGTGGACAACCTACAGCTTGTGGATCCCTCTGCAGCTCGCCGATATGTTTTCACTTATCGGTTCATTGATGATGTTCTTACCTTTGGTTGTCTGCCACCATTGCCGACCTATTATGGTCTTGAATGGAAGGAGACCACTGCGGCTGATGGCTCTTGCACTTTTTTAGGTGCGAAACTGCAGACACGAACAGATGGATCTCTCCGATTGAGTGTGCTTGACAAGACAGTTGCATGGGATTTTCCTGTTATACGATATCCTAGTGCAACGTCAAACATTCCGTCTCATCAGCCTGCAGGTGTGTTCACCGGCCAGCTTACGCGGTTTGAGCAGATTTGTGACAATTGGCATGATTTCAGAACTGCGGCAACCATGCTTGTCCGCCGTTCGCTTTCCTGTGGCCATGCTCCTTCGACATTGGCCCGTGGATGGACTTGTTACATTCGTGCTCGCCAATGTCGACAACCTATACATGTAACTTGTCTTACACAATGGTTTTGACGTATGCTTCGACGTATGCTTCGCTGGTCCGTGCATCATCCTCTTCCACCTTCTCCTCCTCTTTCCTTCGCTTCTCCTTCTCCCTCTCCCCCTCCTCCTCCCCCTTCCTCTTTTCCATCTTCTCCTCCTCCGCCGCCTCCCCCTCCTTGTCCATCTTCCCCTCCTCT